TATAATGAAAAAGTTTTGAAAACTTTGAGTTTTAATGATAAGAACAAAATAAAGGGTAAAATGAATAGTATCAGGATTAATTTTTTAGTGTAAAAATATAATTTTTCGTTAGAATAAAGAGTATCGTGTACTTTTCGTTAAAATTCCCAATAATCTAACCATGCATCTAGAAGCCTTAAGTTTCTTGTCTACACTCTCACCGTCTTATCCAAAATGGAAAAACCAGTTGGATTTTTTTATTAATCAATTCAAAGGTGCTTTATTTGACCAAGTCAAATTTCTATTAAATATTGTCACTTGGAGTACTTATCCAACGCACCAGTGACACAAATTTGTAATGGAATGTGATATTCATTTATCATATTTGATTTTTTACATATTTTTTTAATTTTTAATTATCGGATCGAATAAATTGAAGAAAATCAATTGATAAAAATTAATCAAAAATATGTATGAAGTAAAATGAGATACGTGGATAACACTCCCCATTTGTAATAAACATTTTAAATTCCTTGTAAATTTGGAGACATCGGATGATCAAATGACAATATGCCCCACTGTAATCCTATAAATACCACCTCCCAGTACTCATCTCCAACACAATACTCTCAACCTTCAATAAAACCATCATCCTTCCTTTGCTCATTTTCCAACCTTTTTTTTAATCATCATGGGTGTCTGCACATTTGAGAACGAGTTCACCTCTGAGATTCCACCATCAAGATTGTTCAAGGCCTTTGTCCTTGATGCTGACAACCTCATCCCCAAGATTGCACCCCAGGCAATCAAGCAAGCTGAAATCCTTGAAGGAAACGGTGGCCCCGGAACCATCAAGAAGATCACTTTTGGTGAAGGTCAGTTAATTAGCACGGTTAATGATTTCGATGGTTTCGTTTAACAAATTTTATTAACCCGTATACATGTTGATGTTGTTAGACTTGCAGTATTTGTGGATTTCTAGATGATTATATGTGATCAGTATCCAGAGTCTAATAATATTATATGTTTTATTTGTCTCGCAGGCAGCCAGTACGGCTACGTGAAGCACAGGATTGACTCGATTGACGAAGCAAGCTACTCATACTCCTACACTTTGATTGAAGGAGATGCTTTGACAGACACCATCGAGAAAATATCTTACGAGACCAAGTTGGTGGCATGTGGAAGTGGTTCCACCATCAAGAGCATCAGTCATTATCACACCAAGGGAAACATTGAAATCAAGGAAGAGCACGTCAAGGCTGGAAAAGAGAAGGCCCATGGTTTGTTCAAGCTTATTGAGAGCTACCTTAAGGACCACCCCGACGCATACAACTAAATTAATCATAAGTATCTATGGTGTTTTGGGTGTTACCGTTACTATATGGTCAGTCGAAGGTTGTGTGGCTTTTCTTTGTATGTTTTTTTCACGTCAGCCAAAAGTAATAACCATGGTTTGGGCAGTTTGGGCTTGAAAAATAAGTGTTATGGTTGTGATGATCTTCTTGTTGCGATGTCTTTGTTTGGAAAAAAGTTGGCAGACTGAACGGAGTGTATTATCTTCTATAAATATAATGAAATTACTTTTTAATCAGTTGATGTCTCACTTGCAAACATTGATCTGCAGTAATAATTTTTTCTTCTATTATTATTCTTTTTGAGTAACTTCTTGGAAACCTTAAAATTGGTTTAGCTCTATTGACAAAAAAATAATTTGAATTTTACTAATTTGAATAATTACATATTTATCTTTCACATAACGTGACAAATAATAATGAGAAAAATTCTTAATCTTTCCTAATCCTCTGTTAAGTCTTCAAAATATTATCTAACAAAACCAGATTTTGTCCCAAATTCTGCAGCATAACCAGAGCCCACAAATATCCAACTTCTTGCAGCCCCAAGAGGCACGAAGAAATTTTCAATGATCGCTCCCTATATTAAAACTATAAAGCAAATGACTTGGAAAAGTTGATATTTTGCTTCAGTCCATTCGGACAACTACGCCAAAAACAAATCGATCACATCCGCTCAAGAGTTGGACATGATAAGGCACTGTGAATGTAGTATTATTATAAATTAGTACTCACAAAATTTGAGGTGATACTTACTTTAGTTGGAAAAATATGATAACCTAAATTAATTTTAACCTACTGCTGCTGTCCATCCCAAAAGAAAATTCTAAACATGAATTTTAATATCTTTTAAAGTTTTATTCGTAAAATTTTAAACGCAAATTTTAAATTATAACAAATGTTGTGAACCAATAAAAAAGTAGGAAAATTGGAAAAAGGTCTAATTTTATAACCCATTTTTTAAAATAGGTCCAATTTTTAGTGATTTTTAACTTTTGAAATAAGCCCAATTTTTAGTCCAATTAGACCCATATCAAAAGACCCCAAAAGTATGGTCAGTCAACACGTTTTAAACCAATAAAAAAACTAATAAACAAACTTTAATAATTAATTAAAATTAATTTAAAGCTGCTGTCAAATTTAACAATAACTATTTTTGCTGTCAATCTACTTTATGCTAAATAAGAATTGGTATTCCGATTGAAAAAAAACACTAATATTGTGTTTGTTTTACTATTCTTGCTAATATGTACTATTTAATATCATATTTGGAGATACTCTTGGTAATTATCATAAACTTTCGTTATAACTAAAGTAGTTAAAGATCTACAGTAATTTTGCCTTTAAACCGGATTTTATACCTTTCGATGTAGACGAACATGAACCGACTAGTTTGGGAATAAAATACTTCAAAGAGATATTACAACCAAAATTAAAAACTTAACAGATAATAAGGAGCTGGGTCCTACTAGTTTGGTGAGCTATGACCTGGTGCATCCAATGATTCCATCCACAACTGTGACCAAATGCAAATTCTAACAAATTTGATAATGATTATTTTATTTAAAAGTTTAAATGACTTTCTTGGCCGGTAGATCGGGTGACTTGAGCCCGTGCTTCAGTCTCGGTCAACCAATAAATTTTTGGGTTTGCATAAATGAAGGAGACCTATTTGTCGCTTTCTTCCCCCGAAATTGTATTGAGCTACCAAATTTTTCTTTTTAAATTTTATTTTTAACTGAATATCTATCTGAACTTGTATAATTAATATTTTCATTGACAATAAACTTTGAATTTTTTTTATCCAATTTTCAAGTCATCTAGGTCAGGTAGACATCACATGGTAACTGTATGAAGGCAAAAATGTTGTTTTGTTTTGATAATTTGGGCACAAAACCAATACTTTGCAGTTGTTAATTGGACTACCATGGCCAATTCAAACAGAAATTGTACGGAGTCAACTAGCGGAAGAGAAGTTTGACAAAAAAAGAATTAGCGGAAGAGAATATGTTGTCAACATAAAAAATATAATTACTTTATTGCCCTCAAGCATTTTCCATGTGACCAAAATGAATAGAACATTGGATAAAAAAATTTAAATTAAATGTTAGAGAAAATTAGCTAATTATAAAAGTCTACCGGAATAATCGGCTAAAAGTAAAGTTAAGGGCATGAATCGAAAGATACCTGATAAATAATAATGGAAAAAATCATACAAAAGGCAAGTCGACATTAGGGGTAATTTTTGGTCGAATCGAATTGGACATAAGCATTCCGATGCGAATTCAAAAATGTTTCGAAATCAAATATTATTTCCAATTTCGAAATTTTGGATTGTCGAAATTATCAAAAAATTTGGAATCAGTTTTATATTGGAATTTTTGGAATATAATGTGGATCTCCTAAATTTTGCAATGACACACCCCAACCTAAATCGAGGCATGCTGGCCGTCACATAAGGGTGACGTAGCCATGTGCGCAGTACGGAAGAATAAGATATAAAAATGCAACTAAATAAAAAACCAAATTGACTAAAACACTAGATAAGATAAGGTGAAAGACGAGAATAAGTATGACTAAACATAACCAGAGCGTAGGTAGCCTAAATGCAGTTCAGTAGGACGAATACTAATTATACAACACCAAAGATGATCCTACATTTGTGATGAAATGTCAGAACCACCGTCAAGTCCTCGTGAGCCACCAACGAGTACTCCTACCTAAAACCTGGAGGGGCGTAAAACAGAAAATGTGAGTGGGCTAAAACAAAGTTTTTCAAAAACATTTCATTTATCAAAAGTAGTAACCTCTTACCGTAAAACCTGTATAATTCCTAGAAAATAGCACACATGCTTATAGCTCAAAACCAAATTCGAAATAACAATTCCACAAATATACCATGTCAAATCTCATTAAGAAATAAATAAGTCAGGTGAAATAAACCAATATGAAATGGTAAGCCAGCCGGAGTCACCTAACATGATCTGTATGGTTGGATCTATAACTCATCAACTAGTTCTTTGCACACAAGTCGGAACCACCTAAAGTGGTCTGTACGACAGGCTGGGTATAAATAAATACGCTCAAGTGCTACGATCACGACAGGCTAGGTGTAAATAAATACGCTCAAGTCGCTAAGATTCTATTTTCCACATTTAGAAGCAACTTGGAAATATATAATGCAAGTTGATCTAGAGCACTCTGATTTACATAAATTATATTATATATACTAAAACTTAGTTGAGTTTGGCAATGTTCAGTAATAGTGAAAGGGCGGAAATGCCCCTGATTTTCGTTTGCTTAGCCGTTTTGCTGCTGGTTTGCACAATTAAATATCTGTTATGCCCTTGATTGCCACATGATGATCATCCTTTGTCTATCATCTGTGGGTCTTTGTAATTTTTTATATTTTTTTGTGCCACAAACCATGTGCCGAGTTTAACTCCTGACAACTTTACTGTTTATTAACAGTAAAATGTCAGAAATGACGTTCATCCCATTTCTTCTTCTTTTCGCTTATCTTGTTTTTTTGCACGGTAAAAGCAGCCTTTCTTTCCACCTGTCGATCATCCCATTTCTCCTTCCTTTCCCCCATGTTACTTTTTTTTTTTTTGCACTGTAAAACCACTTCCACCTGTCAATCATTGATGCATTTTGTTTCCATATTTCCTTTGCTTTTCACTTTACTCTTTCGCATATCTCCTTCTCCTTTTTTTTCTCTACTTTTTTTTACCTCTGTACTTTTCTCAGTCAGGATTCTCAACCTCAGTTGTGCTCTAACCTACCTTCATTTCTCTTGCAAAAGGTAACTTCTGTCGCTCATTTCCTGATGGTGTGGGTGTTTAATTTTTTTTTTTTTTTTTTTTTTTGTGATTTTGTATTTGCAGCTGCGTTTTAATTTTGGTTTTCTGGAATCTTGCTTTTTCTGCTTTTCTGATCTCCATTTTTCTGCATGTTCTTCGCTTATCATTCCAAGAAATTTTAAAGTGCTATAAAAGATAGTGTTCTGTGCTGTTTAGTTGAGAGTGAGTGATTATCTTTTTCAATGTTGTGTGCTTAGGAGTGTTAATTTTAATTTGTGATACCTCTTTGGTTTAAATTTTGTTGTTGTGAATGGTTGTTTAGATTTGGGGTTTTTCTTTGTAGGGTTGGATTTTTTGCTTATTGATTATTACTTGCTATCATGGCTTAATTCATGTTTTTTTTTTCCAAATTTTATTTGCTTTTGTTAATTTGAAGATGTATAAATTTAAAGAGTGATTCTTTAACAATGATTGCAGTACATGTGAGTTGGTGTTGCTATACTAAACTAGAAAAACACATAATTTGATGTGGGGGGGGGGGGGGGATTGCTTTTGTTTAATTTTTTCTATTTTTTGGGTGTTATTTCAGTGGTTTAATTATAACTGTTGGAAAAGCAAGATGAGTTTTTTTGGTTTGCTTAGAGAGAAGTTGGATGATGCAAATGTAGTTCGATTATATTTATAAATAGGGATAGTAGATTGTATGATTTAGTGTGTTGTGTTGTTTACTATAAACTAATTTTCAATCTGTATCGGTATGATTTAGTTGAGGTTAATGTAATTCATTGGATGACATTGTTTATAGTTGAAGTAAATTTTGTGTCTTTTAGTAAGTTTCTATCATTTGAACCAAGTGAAAAAATAAGTTTAATTGAAATAGGCGGAGGTAGAAAAATTGGAACAAAAAGCTGTGATTTTTATAAATATGAACATTCAAACTGATCATGGTGTAGAAAAAAAGGGGTGTTGGTCTTTCTCAATAATAGAGCTTTGTAAATATTTATAAATAGAGTGTCTTGCAATGATGCAAAGAGATAAGGTTGTGTTGTTCATGGTTAACATATATTATTAATAGCATTTTGATGTGTTATATGTTTTTCTTTGTTTGTTTTTTTTTCTATTTTTAACATTGTCGGTTTAGTTTGTATACGTTCTGTCTATAGTCGAGTTAAAATTTGTTTGATTGCTTTTAAAGTTTTTCTGTTGAATTTCATGTTAAAACATTGTTCCTTTTTGAAATAGGTGGAAATATATTTTATGCTTTAGGCTGTGTGAAATTTTAAGGCTTGGTTTGGTGCTGTTAAACATAGTTGACAAAAGTCTTAGCTGCTTTGCTAAAATTAGTGCATGGTATCGCTTTCATTATGGGATTAACCAATGACTATGCATTGTAAATAGAGACAAATAGATATATGGCAATGGTTGACAATTATGTGCCCACGATTGTTTCACTCTCTGTACAAAATAATTTTTTTAAGAATTTTGTCATTCCCTCATTTTTTTTTTCCCTTCTTATGTTTAAAGCTTTGCATTGTAAGAATTTCTAAATTTATAAAATTTATGCTTTATTTGAGCAGGTCAAATGGAAAACGTAGCTCATATTGATAAATTGCAACCATATGTAAAGGCAGCAAAGATAAAAGTTCAGATTTGCAGGATATGGAAGTCGACAATCCCTGGAACTGTTCAGAAATATATAGCTCTGCATTGTATATTACTTGATGAAATGGTGAGAGAACATTATTTCAATATTTTAATTACAACTATTTGCAAAGATAATTACCAGCTCTTCAAAAATATACAGTTTTCATTCTATATTACTTGATGAAATGGTGAGAAACGATTATTTTAGTAATTTAATTACAACTTACAAAGATAATTAACAGCAAATATATTATTTTTGTTTCTGACTTTTTTTTACGTGTTAGATAATAAACTTTAATTTTGTTCCTGTTAATAGAGTGTGTTGTAACTGCATACCTATCTATTTATCTTATACAAAATATAATCCATATTTTGATTGTGTTTGTCAATTACATTTGTAACATTTTTCTTTTCTTTTCGTTTTTCCACCCCGATCGATTGCAAAGCAATATGTGATTGAAACTTGCACAACGGAGATGGACTATGAAATTGTTGCTTCGAAAATAGAAGCTGGAAACTGCTATGAAATTATGGGTTTCCGTACGAATAGAATGAGAGGTCAATACAAAGTTGTGCCACATGATACCCAAGTTGTGTTCACTAGGAAAACAATTTTCAAAAAATTGTCTAGTGTGTTTCCACCTATCCATAGACACCGGTTCTTTTTGCAAGATTATAACACACTTTATCTTCGCCTCAACATGGTTGATATCCTTACAGGTAACAATATATGTATATATATATATATGCATTAAAAAACTTTTGTTTTTATTTTGTAAAATGAATTTTAACACTTCCACTATATTTTTGGTGTAATTGCAAGATATCATTGGTCATGTAATTGGTGTGCAAGAGTTGGACCAAAGCAAATTAATCAGAGAATTGCACATAAATGTGATATAGCTATTGAAAACATCAGGTTGCTTCTTCTCTGTGCTTTCTGTGATTCTAAATTATTTTATCTATCTATTATATCCATGTTACAAAATTTGTAAATGTTATCTCACAAATCAATATTGTTAAACCATTATATGATACTTATCATGTTGAGTGCTTACTTTACTCATAACAAATTAAACAAATTTCTTCTTGCCTTTTGAATATCCATTTCAAATTTTTATTTTTCAATAGAAAAGAAGAGATGAAGATTACATTATGGGGTTGCAGAGACTTTTTCTTCTTTGTCAATGGAGACATTATCTGCGCCAACAATTGTTGTTTTCACAAGTCTAATAGTGAAGTTGTACCTTGGTACCTAACTCAATAAAAAAATTAACCTGTTTTGTATCTTTATTGTTCTGTTTCCTCCTATAGATTATGTTAATTAGCTATTAACACAACATTTCGAAATATTTGTTGCCTCTAATGAGTTTTTCACATAATTTATTATCAATGATAAAATGAGTGTTTATGTTTGCTATTCACATTTGGAAACACAATTGTTTGTTTGTTTGTTTATTAATTTTTAGCTGCTTTTGAATAGAAGTATTGTTCTAATTTGAAATTGCATGCTTCCTTTCTTTTTAAGGCATTGCCTTGCAACTGTTTAAATGTAGTGCTACTCAGTAAGTTGTTTCATTATTTTCATAATTTGGTTTCCTTTTTGTAAAATTGCTTATTCAAATTGGAATCTTTGTGAACAAACAAATCATTGCACAACATGTTAAGATTATTTAGGCAAACATGGAATCCTGTGAATCGCATTTGGATATTATTTTTAAACTTACATCCAATTATTTGAATTGTTTATTTATATTTTGCTTATGCTATTTCGGTTATTTTTTTATCCACATGCAAGATTGTGTTGAGTAGCACTACCTCATCGCTTTTCTTTCTTGATCCAGACATCCCGGAACTAAATGCGTACAAATCAGTGTGAGTGCATTGACAATTATTTAAAAAAAATGAAGATATTTTTATTATTTTTACAATAAAACAGATTTTTTTTTTAAAGCTATTCAAATAATATTATGTTTTAAATCATGTAGGTTTTCTATCAACACAGAAGCTGTAAAACTATTGGCACCGTCTTCGAGACAAGTGAATGAAGCTCAAATTTTGCAGACTGCCAGGAGAGTGACAGTTGATGAATTAGCTTTTTTTTATCCAGATTTATATAAGGTAGGAAGCTTTATTAGAACTTCTTATATTTGGGTCAAAATTTACCACCGCAATTTTTACATTTTTAGTGAAACCCATATACATGATGGTTCATCCTTATATAAATGGTTTTAAAATATTTTACAGGATGAGACATTTTTGTGTAGAGCATCCATCAAGCGATTTGACACACGATATAACTGGTGGTACAGTACCTGCCCAAATTGTGTAAAGCAGATGCAGAAGGATCCCTACGTGCGCGTAGGAAAAAAAATTATCGTTAAGTAGAAAAGACAAAAATGCCTCTAGATGGCTTAACGTAATGATATGAGGACGTATTTTATCCTTATATATTTTATTGGATTTCTTGACATATTTGGATAGAGGACGACCCTACGTGCGCGTAGGCAAAACCTGCTTGTGAAACAGAGTTATTACGAAGAAGTTATTGACGTTTGAAGTGGAGGGCAAAATAGACATTTTACCATTAATTTGGAAGGCTCCAGAAAATCTGGAGCAATGGGATAAGCCACGTGTGGCTGAGATTAAGGAAGGAAGTGAGATGGACGGAGGAGATACAGGAAGAAAGGAGAGAAAATGAGGGAAGGGCTGCCTGATGGGAAGGGAGGGAAATGAGGGAAAGAAAAGAAAAGAAAGAAAAAAAAAAGAAAAAAAAGAGTGAACGGGTGTTCTTCCCGACCCGACCTGGGGACAAGCAATCTGATGCCATTCGCAGTGTTTCATGGCAAATTGCCGCCATCCATCACTTGGAAATACCTACCCAACCTCCCCTCTACCATTTACACCCAAAAATCAGAAGAAATTTAGTTGAAGTTTGGTGGAAAACCCACCATGGGTGTTGCGGGAAACCTTGCCCGAGATCCACTATTTTTGAAACGATTTCATTCAATTACCACCACCAAAACATTCCTCTAGAGGTCAGAAACAAAGCCCAAACAACTATAGATGCAGTGGAACACCGGAAGTGAAGGATCGAAGCCACCCATTTTTAGGATTTCCGGCAAGTTTGAGCGAAATTGGAGCCTTTCCCGGCTGAATTGGACTTCAGCCCAGGTATGAAAGTTGTTCCGCTCATTGAACTCTACTTGCCTGTAAAATTTGGTAATTTTTAGTGGGCCAACGCTATCTTCTCATGCATATTTTTATATTTTTAAATCCGAAGTTGGTACCCATTTGGTGTGGTTCAATTGTGAAATCTAATGTTGCTTATTGCCGTTATTAGATTATTTTCGGAAATGAATAAAAGGATCCATGGTGAACTACGAAAGGCTTGATCCCGCTCAAGGGTACGTAGGCAGTCTAACCGGGGTTAGATGCAACCTTACATAATTGAGAATTATATTTTGTTGGGAAGTTGATTTAAGAAAAGAAATTTGATACATAAGATGAAATAAAGTCTTATGTTTTTTGTAAGTAAATTTTGGTTGTAGATTTTTTTAGTACTTAGGAAAGTTAAATAAAGAGTAGTGTTTAATGGTAGTAAAATAAACAAAAGTTTGAATTGGGCCTATCATCAGAATTATTTCCCGAAAATAAATATTTCGGGGCAGGACGTTATAACCTCACTCAAACAACAAATATATGAATATATTATACCTATAAGTGAGATATGAAGCATAACTAAAAGGTAGAAAAACATAAATTATCTACAAGCAAGACACATTAACCTGTAATACAAATTGATTATAAAAAAGAATATGTCATATAGGTAGATAAATACAATTAACCTATGATATAGGTTGATTATAAAAATTAAAAAAGAAACCTATTAATGAGGTTTAATGCAGGAGGAAGAACAAGAAAGAAAATTGAAGAGATAATTAGAAAGAAAATTAATTTTTATAGTAGATCTTATCATTAAAGAGATATTCATTGATAATAAAATAATTAAATTTAATGAATTAGACTTATTTTAATAAACTAGACTATTTCTACTTAATGTCTAAAAGAATTAAACTTATATCAAATTTCCTCTTTTTAAAACACTGACTAAGACTAATCAAGTTGTCCAAGAAAATTCACATTTTCCTTGAGATGACTATAAACCTTAAAGACTTAATAAGAAAGTGTTATTACTTTACAGGCTACATTATAGCCACTTCGATAAATTCTTTCCGTTTTTGCAAGGGCTTCTCGCAAACCTTTCAAATCTTTATATAGATGTTTGTACCTACTCGACATAGATTTCTCAATTTGGGATGTGCCTTGAATATGCTCGACAAATTGTGCATGAACTTCTTTCACATTTGTTGTACTCTCATCTCATTCCCGTGATTAGGTAATGAGTAACAAGCACCTAAGCATGAAGCAAAGTAATGTCTTCCTCTAACGACCAATTTGCCTTCTCACTCATTTTTGTTGGTAACAAAAGAATTTGGGAAGTAGAAAACAAATATAGGAAATTGTAGTAAAAATAAATATTGAGTTGTGGTGTGGGGAATAAAGAAGATGGTTGGGTATTTATAGAAAAAAATAAATTGGGTATTCTTTGGTAATTTTTTAATTTTTTGGATTTTTTAAGATTTTTTACTGTTGGATAATCATGGTCGTTGATTTTATGGCACAGCAAAATGGTTTTGAAAATTAGCTCAGGAAAAACGATTCGTGGTTGTTGATTATGTCTTATGTTCAAGACTTCAAGATTCGCACGTGCAGCCAATCCATCTTTAGACTTTTTATCTATATCTAGCAATGTTCTCACCACATTATCACATATATTCTTCTCGATATGCATAACATCAAGATTGTGTCTAATCAACAGATGCCTCCTAGTTCATAAAAAATAGATTTCTTCGTCCACTGACTCTTACTACTTTTACTGCTCTCAGTTCTTCCTCTGCGTTGCCCAATCGAAGCATCTTTGTTTGGTTTTCCAAAAGTAAATCTCAAAGTAGAAAGTTCTTCGATACATTGTAAACCTATCAATTGCCTTGGTGCACTACGATGCTCTCGCTGACCATTATAAGTTGTGGTTTGCCTTTGAAACCTATGATTATCAACAAGATAGTGTTGATGCCCTAAATAGCAAATCTTACGACTTGTCGGCAAGTAAATAGATTTTTTATCATGCATGCAATGTGGACAGGCTTATATCCATTTGTACTTCACCCTGATCAACAACATTTCATAAGCCGAAAAACACTTATAGTCCATAAGATGGCAACCTTCATCGTAAAATTTTGGTTGGAATACGCATCATACGTGAGAGTGCCCACCTCCCACAACTCATCCAACTCGTCAATTAATGGACCCATGTACACATCAATCTCTTTATCGGGACTGCGCGGTCCTGGTATTAATATAGACAACAACAAATTCGATTGCTTCATACACATCGAAGATGACAAATTGTAAACTGAAAGCACCACATGCCATGTGCTATGGTCTTGCCTCATTTTCCCAAAAGGATTAAATTCATTACTAGCCAACCCTAATCAAACATTTCAAATTTTTGACGTAAACTCCAGATATAAATTATCCAAATGCTTCCATGCTGGAGAATCTGAATGATGTCTCATAAACTCATCCTTAGGACATTCAGTTGCGTGTCACCTCATATGTTCAGCTGTATGATTCGACATATAAAACCGCTGCAATCGTGATTTTAAAGGAAAATACCATATAACCTTAGCTGCAATTTTTTTCCTAGAGCCATCCTCTTCATTAGCATTTGTATATTTTAATTTACCACAAACCGAGCATGCGGTCAACTCTGAAGTGTCTTTTCAACAGATCATGCAATTATTGGGGCATGCATCAATCTTCACATACGTCAAACCAAGTCATTTATAAGTGTTTTTGCCTTATAACAAGATTCAGGCAAACAATCCCCTTGAGACAACATTCTTTTACTTAACTCGAGTAACGTGGTGAAAATTTCGTCCGGCATTCCCGCTAAACACTTGATTTGATACAATCTTACAACTGGCTCCAATTTTTTAAATTCCTTACAACCTGGCCACAAATCTTAATCCACCTCTTCAAGCAACTTAAAAATAGTTTTGACCTCTTCCATACGCCATTCCCCAATAGAGGGTTCAGTAGACAGCCTAATACCTTCTTCCGTTAATGGTTGGAAATTACATCATTAAGGAAATCATGAATATCAGTCAACCCATCTCTAGTTTCATCTTTTCCAGTTACCACATTTTGCTTTCCAATGTTAGGCTCCCCATGATGTCGCCACGAAGCATTTTTGCAATCTTGATCCATATCATACAACACAAGATGTTCGAAAATAGTTTTTCTAACAAAAGTATATTGATTATAACATCGTTTGCAAGGACATCTAAACTTATCAGGGCCAGCATCATTCGCAACTGCTTGATCCAAAAACAAATTAATTTCATTTGTATACGCTTCCAAATTTTACGGTATCGTCAACCAACTCTTGTCTATGTTTTACCACTTTACGATGGCAAAATATTACGTTGAAACTAAGATGCGTACAATCTTTCAATCCCTATTTTTTAACCCTCAAACTCTATCACGATTGCAATCTTTTAATTTCCAACATCTATAATAGTAAAACAATTTTTTTTTTTAAAAAAAACAACAAAAGGTTAACAAAAATATGCTTATTTACTTTTGAATATTTATTAAATTCAAGTTTTGTATATCCTCTTGGCAATTAAAGTGCAAGATAATATATACCTACATTACTAAATATTACCAATTTATGTTATATTAAATATTGTCAATTTAACATAAATATTTTTAAATAATATTTATTTAAATTTCTACATAACAATTTAAGTGAGTAAAATAAATTAATTGAACATAAGTATTCCTAATTTATCTTACTAATTAAATTAAAATCTCTAAATAAAAATCTTGTGTGTTGAATAAAAAAAATTTAAACATCAAGAAGTTCATTAACAAAACTTGAATTATTGAAAGAATTCCATCGTCGATCTATTCTTTATGTACTCAGCTAACTAAAACAAAACCCTTGCAAAATCAAATCAAAAAATACAAATCAGCCACGAGGTGCTTGGCGGAAGAAGAAATAGAAGATGAAAAGAATAGAAGCAAAAAGAGTAAAAAGAATTGAAAAACTTACGGTGAGGTGAAGAGAAGAAAAATATTGAAGATGAAGAGTAAGAAATGAGTAAAATAAAGATGAGGAAGAAGAAGAAATGAAGATAATAAAGAAGAATCGAAAAACTGACGGCATAGAAATTTGAAAATAATAAAATAAACCACCTATGTCGGATAAAAATGACAATAATTTTACTATAACGGACAGAACACTAAAATAATAGAATTCTGACAGTTATAAACGCCACTGTTAACTTCATAACAGCCAGGAATTGTTTAAAATATTAAAAAAATAGAAACTATCCGCTAGGAATTCTTGTTAAGGGCGAGAATTTTGTGCTTCAAAAATCCTGGCGGTTATACAATGTTTATGTCGGTTGTATCCAGCATTTATCTCTCATGTCAGATATAAATAACATGAATTCTTTTTTATCCAACATTAACTGAATGTCGCGTCGAATATGTTTTATCCGACATAATGCCTTATTAAATCTTCACTATCCTTCAACACATAAAGCTAATTTTGTTGTAGTGTGCTTAGAAGCAAGGAAGAAAATATCAGTAATATCGGAAATATCGGTAGTCCGAAAACACGGAAATATCGATGGAAATATCGGGATAATATCGATATCGATAAAAATTACATGGAAACCACGGAAATTGTAAGAAAAACTTGGAAATTTTTATTGAAACTTTGCAGGATGTTTATTTAGTCAATTATCTATTAGTTTATCACAAAAAATTGGAAGGAAATGCATTGCATGATGGATTTAACTGATTTAAGTTGATTATATAGCGAGCTGGCAAACATTGTAAGTGTAGAAAATATGTAGTAATTAATGAAATAAGTTTAAACACACCATAATCATTTATATATAATGAATTAGTACAATATTTTACACTTCATACATTGTATGGTAAGATACATGAGTGACTTAGTATCACATAGAGTGAACGTGGTGAGTAGTTCAAAAGTAGATACTTGAAAAGAAATTAATCAAATTTTAGTATGATGTAATTATTTGGACTTGATTTAAAATAGAAATTTATCATATATAATATATGTAACTGAAAAAAAAATAATCAAATTTTAATATGATGTAATTATTTGGACTTGATTTAAAATAGAAATTTATCATATAGAATATATGTAACTGAAAAAAAAATAATCAAATTTTAATATGATATAATTATTTGGACTTGATTTAAAATAGAAATTTATCATATAGAATATATGTAACTGAAAAAAAATTAATCAAATTTTAATATGATGTAATTATTTGGACTTGATTTCTCTTTATACATATATTCTTCTTCCTATTTTCTAGTATTTCAGTTTAGTAAGTGATTTTAAATTTCGGAGACGAAATTCTTTTAAGAGGGGTAGATTGTTACACCCACCCCAATTTAAATTGTATTTTCACTAAATTTGAGTTTATCTTGCTTTTAAAATTATTTTTAGATCTTAATAGGTGTGCCCAGGGGGCCCACCTTGCTTTTGTGTCCCCGTCTCTCTTTTCTCTCAGATCTCTCTTTTCCCTCACTCTCTCATCTCTACCGTGCTCTCTCTCTGCACTCTCTCCTTCTCCCCGTGAACCAACCCACACGCCACACCCTCACTTCCACACCACTTCAACGGCGACACCTCCTCATCGCTCTCTGCACTCTCTGCACTCTCTCCTTCTCCCCGTGAACAACCCTCATTCTCCCTCTTCACCCTCTATGCACTCTCTGCATCTCTGCACTCTCTCCTTCTCCGCGTGAACAACCCACACCCTCACTTCCACACCACATCAACGGCGACACCACCTCATCTCCATCTCCGTCTCTACGTCTCCGTCTCTGCCTCGGTCTCTCCGTCTCCGTCTCTCCGTCTCTCCGTCTCCGTCTCTGCCTCGGTCTCTCCGTCTCCGTCTCTCCCTCGGTCTCTCCGTCTCCATCTCTGTCTCGGTCTCTCCGTCTCCGTCTCTCCCTCGGTCTCTCCGTCTCCATCTCTGCCTCGGTCTCTCTGTCTCCGTCTCTCCCTCGGTCTCTCCGTCTTCGTCTCTCCCTCGGTCTCTCCGTCTCCATCTCTGCCTCGGTCTCTCCGTCTCCGTCTCTCCCTCGGTCTCTCCGTCTTCGTCTCTCCCTCGGTCTCTCCGTCTCCATCTCTGCCTCGGTCTCTCCGTCTCCGTCTCTCCCTCGATCTGGTTTCTGGATCCTTCTTCTTCGATCTGGTTTCTGGATCCATTTTCTTCGATCTGGTTTCTGGATCCCTTTCTCACCTCCCGGCGGCGGCGACGACGACGAATATCGCGATAATATCGCTAATATCGGTAATATCGCGATATTAGCGATATTATCGCGATATTTTAAAGATATTTTATTTTTACTAAAAAAAATATCGCCGGGTCAAAAAAACGATATTATCGGCGATATTTCGCCGATAATATCAATATTTAATTCCTTGCTTAGAAGCACGTGGGTGGGGCCCCTGTTTCTACAGCCTAGCAATGACATATCTCTCGCCAGCTGGCTCAAGGCCTGGTAATTGTTGGGCGGGCAACCCCACTGTCTTGCTGGAGCTCACCCCTACCAGAGTAATTTTGGACTGTTGGAGTTGCAACTTTTGGGCCAAGGGCAAATATAACTCAATTGCCCTGCCAATTTTGATAACGATAGAACTGCTCTTCCAAAACTACAGTATTTTACTCACCGATTAAAGTTATATATATAATTTTTAGTGTCACGCCGTATTTGAAAATGTTCAAGCTATCTTATCGTAACAATTCAATCGTATGCAAAAATCAATCAACTGGCCCATAACAGTTGAAGCTTTTTCCCTTTTAGTAAAGGAATAAAACTCTATTTAGATCTTTGCCCAACTAAGAAATAATAGCCCAACCTTGTAAAATTTCTAATTCTGCCCTTGTTAATGGAGATAAATGGTAATAATATAGGTTTTTCCATCACAGATAGGTGTTACAAAAGTTGAAGAGGTCACGGCGGAGGCTTAACAATCAGTAGGGAAACATAATTGGTCATTGGTGGTCGGTACCAAATTATTTCCAAAGCTTGAACAAACTCTACTAACACCAAAACTTGAACATTGCAAGGGAAGTAACGTGTGACACGAGAATATAAACTCGAATTTGATACTAATTTGACAAAGATTTGATTATTGTTTAAAGTAAGAAGAGTTGGATCATGAAAATTCCATGTCACTGCAAGCCTAACATTACAAGCAGTCTTCCTCCTAAATATAAAACATACAACGTACCTTCCAGAGCATGGAAGTTCCATGTCAATACAAGTCATCCGGTTGATCATTTTTAAAGAGGAACTATCCGATTCCATCCCCTTGTCGAAAAGTCCACACTAGGTTACATTTGGTCCAACTTATACATCGGGGTTCCACCATTAGAGTTTAATACGACTTAAAAAATATTATTCAGACCAACAACTTGCAAGCAAAAAAGCAGCAGCCCACCACCTAAAGTTCTGCTGCATTATTCACATCCTAAAATTATTAATCTGATAAAATTTGCTCCTCCCTCCCTCTTTGATATTTTCACAAATCAGAACCTTTTTTTTTTTTTCTGTTTCTTTGATCCCAACTCCCCAAGTGTTCATCAAGCAAAAGAAAACATGGGAATCACCAAGATCAGCCAGAAGTTCGTGACTCAGGTGACGCCACAGAGGATGTTCAACGCCTTGATCTTGGACTCCCACAACCTCTGCCCCAAGCTCATGTTCTCATCAATTAAAAGTATTGAATTCCTTAGCGGTTCAGGAGAAGTTGGAACCATCAAACAGATCAACTTCACTGAAGGTAAATTGTTAAGCACATAAAAAGTCAAATTAGCTAAAATTAATGATCACAATCAAATCTCAATTGTCGAATTCAAAATTAAACCAAAGATTGACGATATGGCAATCGGATAAAGACGACATACTGAAAACAATATCTAATTTTTGTGTTGGTTTTGTTGGGGATGTGCAGCTAGTCCTATGAAATATGTTAAGCACAGGATTGATGCTTTGGACAAGGAGGCCCTCAGCTGCAGCTACACATTCATCGAAAGCGACGCGTCGGATCACTTGATGGACAAGCTTGAATACATAACTTATGATGTCAAGTTTGAGGGGTATGGAAGAGGAGGATGCATCTGTCATTTGACCAGCACATACAAAGCCAAAGACGATATTCAGATCAAAGAAGAAGACATTGAGCTTGGCAAGGATAGAGCTATTGGGATGTATGAAGTGTTGGAAGCCTACCTCATGGCACACCCTCGCGCCTACATCTGAAAATTTTCAAGAAAGTTTTTATCAATTTTTGGGAATTCTGCTGTGGACAATATATCAAAAATATGGTTCATGTTGTTTTTCTTTTTTCCCCGAAGTGCTTTTCCAGTTCTTCTTTCCTAGACTTTCTTGTTGTTGTACAAGATTGTGATTAAGATAAATATTTAATTTTGATTCTAAATCAGGGGCTGGGCTGTGTACAAGTAGTTTATCCATTTTTTTTTCTTTTTTCATTTTTTATCAAGATAGTTCAACCAAAATATCTCAGCAGCATCCATCCTAAGCAAAGTGGAGGAGCAAATCTCAGATGGTAAACAGATTGGAATTCTAACCTGAAATTCTTAATTGGACTCTGTCAGTCATTTTATTTTAGTAAATTACTTGTTTTGATTTACTGGAGTTGAAAGGATTTAAAACACTTGCAAATAAGGAACTAGTTGTAGAAACACCATAAATTTGCAGCTGATTTAAGAACATGGTTGTATACACCTCTGTCATTATATTTCTCCTTTTTGGATGAGACACAAGGCTAATTCCCAAAAAGAAAATAATGACATGAGGCCTAGAAACACGTAGTAAATTGTCATCCAAAAAGGACCTAATACAATTAGGAGGGTCATGAAACACAGTAATTAAGCCCCAACTCACGGCTATTTCCTAGATTAACAAGGTGGTTCACTACCATATCACGCTCTGTAAATATGTTATGTACTGCAAGGTGGTTCACTACAAGGCAGGGAAAGCTTGGACCTCATAAGGATCCAAAGGATGCCACAGTTACTGAGAGATTTTGTAAGCGCCGCCCATATGTTTAAAAACATGTATTTCTGAGTTGAATCTTTAAAGTTTGAAACCGAAGTCTAACTTAGCGACCAAAATACTTTGCAACTTTGAAAGGCATTCAAAGACTGCAGCTACAACCCTACCCTACAACCTAATTTTTTATGTTTTCCACGTTGATTACACCAACCTAGCTACATACACACGCATCTCAAACTTAAGCTCTATATATGCATGCTGCCAATGGTTTCCAACTACGGCTGCTATTACAACTAATCTACAAATTATGGGTGTGACAAGTATAACACAGGAGTTCCTCTGCCCAATCGCCCCGGTGCGCATGTTCAAGGCTTTGATCATAGACTCAAAAAATCTGATACCAAAGCTGTTGCCCCAGTTCATCGCAAGCGTCGATGTAACACAGGGAGATGGAGGAGCAGGAAGCATTGAACAAGTCAATTTCACGGAAGGTTTGCAATCTGACATACAATTCACAAACAGATAAACTTTTGTTTCAGCAGTTCTGCAACGTTTCTTATGTCTTGCCTTAGTGAATATTTCGTTTGGTTTACGATGTAGGTAGCCATTTCAGATACGTGAAGCACCGGATTGACGAACTTGACGTAGAGAATTTTGTGTGCAAGTACACTATGATTGAAGGGGATGCATTAGGTGAGAAGCTTGAGTCTATTGCTTATGAGGTGAAGTTTGAGGCAGCTAGTGATGGGAGCTCAATCTGCAAGATGACAAGTAAATACAACACCATTGGGGAGTTTGAGGTCAAGGAAGAGGAAATCATAGCAGGCAAGAACAGTGCTATCGGGATATACAAAGTTGTGGAAGCCTACCTCTTGGAGAACCCAAATGTTTATTCTTGAGGTCATGGAGTCCTATATATACGTGGGAACAAACCATAAATGGTATTGCTGCAATTTAATTGTTTAGGATTCTTGTGAACCCTCCAACAAGGGTTGACATCATGGTTAATAAAACAAGAATATTGTTTGGATTTACTTGAACGTATTGTAAGAGATCGAAGGATCTGCTGGTCTTCCCCAATTACCAAATTAACATTCAGATGCTTTGGATATGTTCCAAATATAGGTGGATTTCTTGAGTATTTGTGCTCATATCTTTCATCTCGGCAGACTTGGGCTTAGCCAAGTTGGCTAGAGCAGTGCGGTCTCCCTCTTTACCCAAGTTCGAATCTCCCCTCCCATTGTTTGGGTTAATTTAGTGTAGGGCCATAAAAATATGAATTCATGGTGCCATCAACTCACATAATCTGTTTTAGTACAAAACTGGAATCCAGTTTTTGGTCACTAATGGGAAATCATCGGCCAAAAATTGCATTAAGCAAAAGCATAGCCACCACACCAGCCTGTATATTCCTTAGGTTTGACGTCACAAAAGCTAGTCAATTTTCTTCAATCTTTGGGGAAATGGACTTTGTAAACACATCACTGCATGCAATCTCACAAACGTTGTCAACGACTCAATGGAAAGCTAGTCAATATTCTTCACAAACTTTAGCCAGCCAGCGTGCTTTTATATTCCTTCTGATCCCCAATATTTCCAGCTGCTTCAATCTTTTTGTTCAATCAGAAAGATCTCAAAGAACACAAGCAGTGTTTGGCTGAGTCTGTTTTGACCCTTTTGGGATATAAAGTTACACTAGTAATCATGGAGTCTGTGTACAGAAACAAAATTATCTTCAGCTTTAGGATTTAGGTTAAGCTGCTTCTGGAGATTCTTATTGTTTGCACGCTTAAGTTGGTCCTTGAGAACATAAAAGATGGCCTCAAATATCTGCACAAAGTAGCAATTAAGTGGATTCTCGCTCAAATGATTAAGAGTATTCAACCTGGCACCCTACATCTCGCGTCTGCTTCCCTCCCCCAACGTCGCTCGTAGGAAAAGGAAAGAAAGGTACTTAAGATGAGCTAGGATCACCAAGAAACGTTTAAAACAACAATACCAATTCTTTTTTGCTTTGTTTTGTTTTGTTTTTCACACAGCTGAAGGAGGCCTAAATCTACCATAAGAATAAACAGTAATCGACTTTACATGTCAAACCCTAAAAGTCCCACTTCCACGGATTTGGATCCTCTCCTAAGCTAATGGAGATGATCCTCCTGACCACTACTCATGGGCCATTGGATTTTTATCCAATGGCTATAATTATTATAACTTTAAGAGACCTCCCTGTTTGTAGCCGTTGGATAAAAATCCAACGGCCATTGATTAGTGACTAGGAGGATCCTCTCCATTAGCTCAGGAGAGGAACCAAGTCCCACTTCCACACCCCATGAGATCACGGCCTCATAATAACACACAATTAGCCAACAACCAGCTTTTTGGTCAAAATGCAGTCCTAAGAAAACTAGGGTCTTTTCACATTAATCTAACCGCAATCATTTAAGAAAGGTTTTTTTAGTCAAAATGGTCTTTGAGATTTGCATAACTCTTCACTTTGGTCCCTGAGATTTCAAATTAATAGAAGTGGTCCCTGAGATTGTTCACCATCCATCATTTTGGTCATTCTGTTAAAAACCATGTTAAGTGTCCAGGATCTCTTGGCTGGAAGTTTGGGCAATTTTCATAGCTTCGTAACTCAATTGTTTCTTAACCAAATTCGACCCATAATATATCAAAATGAATATAGGAAATTATAGAATAAGATTATACCCATTTGGAAGCCCAATGGTTGCTGGAGATGGTCGGAAAATAGCCTCAAAGTTGATTGGTCCGAGGAAAAACTGGAAAACTCTCCGGAAACTAGGTAAAATTTAAATGTTCATAACTTCTTCAATACTCAACGAAATCAAGTGATTAAAAAACAAAAATCATACTTCTCGACAAGACGAAGAGAATGATACCTTTTTTTTTTACGGCTAACTCGCCATGTTTTGGCATAAAAACGGCTCGAAAGTGGCTAACTCAAGACCAAGACAGCCACTTTCGAGCCGTTTTTCGACCAAACCATGACGAGTTAACCGCTGAAAAATGCATCATTCTCTTCATCTTGTTGAGAAGTATGATTTTTGTTTTGAATCACTTGATTTCGTTGAGTATTGAAGAAGTTATGAACGTTTAAATTTTATCCAGTTTCCAACGAGTTTTCCAGTTTTCCCTCAGACCAGTCAACTTTGAGGCTATTTTCCGACCATCTCCGGCAAACATTGGGCTTCCAAATAGGTATAATCTTATTCTACACTTTCCTATCTTCATTTTGATATATTATGGGTCGAATTTGGTTAAGAAAAGAATGAGTTACAAAGCTTTGAAAATTGCCCAAACTTCCGGCCAAGAGCTCCGGAACACTTAATGGAGTTTTTAATGGAATGACCAAAATGATGGATGGTGGACAATCTCAGGGACCACTTCTATTGATTTGATATCTCAGGAACCAAAATAAGGAGTTATGCAAATTTCAGAGACCATTTTAGCTAAAAAGCCTTTAAGAAATTATAATACATATGTCATATGATTCCCAACCGACACTTGGTGCTGGATGGTTGGAGCTGGCTACTATATATTATATGTCACTTCCAGCCCCAATACACAATACAATTGCACTCTTTTTTTTCTAAAAGAACGGCTAAAATCGAAACTCAAAAGCATCAAGCAATTTAGTTAGATAACAAGGAGCACCAAGTAATCTAAATAGCAGAAAGCCGTACGTCTTGAGGGAAGTCGACTGGATGTACTAGAAAACTTATAAATGCAAAACTCGTTCCAATTTCCAACAGAAATATCAGCCATGAGTGAAAACTATGTGTTCTTTGGTATCTTTCTCACAGTGACCAAAGTCAAACAACTTTCAAAACTGGTACGTCTAGGTGCCATACCGCCTAAGATTCTTATCAATCCTAAGAAAAATAAAAAGAACTAGGGTATGGTACTAAAACACTTGCATGTGGTATTACTACTCCAAGAGTTATAATATAGGTGGATGACAGTTTGATGATGAAGCGAATAGTGTTAATAACCAATTTGCATGTTATAATGTATAAATGAATTAATTATACTACGTGACAATGTTTCAGTACCACATAATATATAATCTTCGACAAAATTGGATCCAAACTAATGTTTAGCCATAATCGCATGTATAATCGATAGACGTGTTGATATACTGTTGATTCTTTTTATAATGATAGAAGTCATATGACCTCAATTTTTTATTAATCCCGAGAAGAATGAAAAACTTATACTGAAACACAATCATGCAATATTCCGTATGCCATTGAAACACAATCATGCAATATTTGTTACCCGTGGTTTAGTACGATCTCTCTCCCGAGAAGAATAAAAATCTTATATTATCTTTAGCTAGAATATAATATAAGATGGTTAAGCTCATCGAAAACCAGGCTGACACTGGAGTTACACCTTTTAAAATGATCAGCCTGTGAAAGAATCTGCAACTCTCCAATCTCCATCAAACTTTACGACTAAAATGAAAGGAGGTTTATGCTTTCCAACCCTAATTTTTTTGTCATTTGCATGTGTGTGAACGTCGATGTTTGCTTGTGCCAAAAGGATTCCATAAGATTAGTGGAACTCCAATTCAATGCTCAAAAGCTATGACTAGATGAAAATGTAAACAAAATCATCTGATCATCTCCCTTTTAATTTTTTTCTCCATGGACGGTTTTGGATATCCTAATCATCTCAAAAGACAGACGTCCCTCAATCGCACACAGCCATCCATTCCATCACACACAAAAGGAAAATTCTCGTCCCTCAATCGCACACAGCCATCCATTCCATCACACACAAAAGGAAAATTCTCTTTGGCTCAGCATTCCATCGTCCATACAAAACCCATCCCTTTCTTCCATCCTTTTAACACATTTGACAATGAAGTTTGCAGGCTAAATTAATCAATTCGAAAAGGAGATTCCTTGCATGTCCCACATCTTTGCTTTCTATTATTCCTTACCCTTTTTTTTCGATGTGTACAAATAAAATGCCACCTATTAATTCATTCTTCATTCATCCCCTACCTCTCTCCTCCCTCCACCCTCTTCATTGCATCTCATGGAGGTATGCCCCTAAATTAATTGCAATCACATACTTCCAGATTACATGTATTAGTCCATGCTTACGTTAATTTTTTTGTTTGTCAAATGCAGAAACCTCGGGTGACGGAGATTCATGTTCGAATGGACTGTAACGGATGTGTGCAGAAGATAAAGAAAGCGCTACATGGCATCAATGGTGAGAAATTAAGAGTTCCATGTTTTTTAATTTTTTGTTTTTGGTATGTTTCTTACACTAAGAACGCAGCTTTTATTAGCTTCTAGTTTTTCAGTGAAGAATCATTTTTCTTTTTCTGCAGGTATATATGAGCTTTACATTGACTTCCCACAACAAAAGTTGACAATAATTGGGTGGGCGGATCCGGAGAAGATAGTAAAAGCGATTAAGAAGACGAGGAAGATTGCCACCATATGTTCCCACACAGAACAACAAACAGAGCCTGCTCCTCAGCCGCCAGAACAAGCACCGGAGAATGGTGCACCAGCTCCTGAGGTGGCAAATCCTCCTCCGGCAGAAGCACCACCACCGGCTGAGGCAGCTCCGCCAGCTGAAGCTGCCTCGCCAGCAGAGCCACCGAGAGAATCACCACCGCCTCAACAGCCAGCACCGGAGCCAGCAACGCCAACACCTGTAGCTGCTGAGACTAACCCCGGGCAACAAATACACCACCAGAGACCAAGAGACGTTGGAGAAGTTCATACAATTTACCACCAGAGTCACCACCCACCGGGACAATCACCACCGCCTCAACAGCCAGCACCAGAGTCAGCAGCGCCAACACCTGTAGCTGCTGAGACTAACCCTGGGCAACAAATACACCACCAGAGACGAAGAGACGTTGGAGAAGTTCATACCATATACCACCACGGTAACCCTCCACCTGATTATGGCTATAGATATGGCTACTCTCAAGGCTACAATGGCTACTGGAACGGATACCATAACAGCCAAGGACCTCCACCGGAGCCTGCCCCTATCCCCACCCCAATGGGCCCTTCCCCGATGACCCCCGCCACAATGGGCCCTCCTCCGATGAGCCCCACCACAATGAGTC